ATAGAGATTTGATTGATAAACAAAGAAAATCGCATATCAAGCAAACTCAAGTGCAAGACACAAGTATTTTTTTTAATATAACCAACTTCAAAATGTTTAACCATCCAATCAGAGAAGTTATTCAGTGGCGCATCAGATGTTTGTAAAGCGAGCTTCTCAGGAGTGACAGCGGTGACAGCCAATCACACAAGAAAAGACGGTGGGCCAATCAGGAGCTTGTGGGCGGTCTAATCTCAGGGAAGCAGACTTATCTTGAGCTGCGGTTTTCCGCTTGGTCATAGTGCTCAACAAATGTCTGCGCACTATAGCGTAACATTTGGACAGTAAAGCATGCAGGGGACCAAAACGGACGTTTGGAAAAGTGCAGGGGACATGCCCCCTTCATACCCAAAATGACATCCATGCATATAGACACAAAACAGCAAAGAGAAATAAAACAAACTTCTTATTGATTAACAACCCTTTTTAGCCCCCTAGAAGTGATAGATTCTTTTTTACAGCACAGTATTAATTCATCCAGTGCACAATCAGAGGGGTTATAGCTAGACTGTTCTGGTTGATCATGGTCTTTTTTGACTCTTCTTTCATCCAATGGGTGCCCAAGTCCCTCTGCTGCTCATATTTCAAAATATTCATCCCAGTTTTCTATGCCTGACTATTTCCAATCAGGGTCAAAGGATCACAGATGGCTAAACTGTGTATTTATATAATCCATGAGGTAATGTGCTATGAATGATGATGTGGGGTTAAAGCCTAGAAGCAACTATTTCTCAAAGAAAGCGAACATACCTTTTTGCACCCCGCACAGATATGTAATAATAAAGCACATGACGCAGAGATCCATCTTTTGACTCCACAGCAGAACTCAGCTCACAGCATTCATCTCACACTGTTCAGAGTCTGGATTTAACGGGCTCATGGGAACAGAGGTTTCAGCTGACAGGATAGCTAACGGCTGCGTCTGCACCTTTAATCTGTGCTGAGACCTCCGGTTTGCAACTTGAACATATAAATCTGAGGCACATGGGGTACCAGGAGGCCCAACCTGTGAGTTATAGATTCACACTGTCTGCACACTCACTGCATACATCCAGTTTCTCATGCACTTTACAAAGTAAAATGAAAAGCAGCATTTTATTCTTTTTTTATCTATTGACCCAAAGCAAGAAACCATCCAAACACACGATGATGTTATTATCTAAAGATCTGATTTCTACTTCTCCAGAGCTATTATCTGTAACGCTCTGAGCACCCATTACTTTCTCACCACTCTGCAAAAGACAACTGCAGGTGCCGCACAATAACATAATTTACTGCTTCAAATAAAACTGTCAAGAGTGGATAATCACGCTGCTGTAATGCTTCTGCATCCTTAAAAGCTCAGAGTTTTCACCGGGGTTTCAGGAGAGATGCGTCATTTGAGGTTTTATCAGAGACTTCCAATTATTGCTTCAGTTTATGAGGTGGTGGGTTGGTGTCTGCCAGTTTTCTGCTCTGCCTTCATCCATTGCAAAGCTGGTCCAAAGGCTCATAAAACTGTTTAAATTATTGGGAAAAGAGATCTAACCTTTTTTAAAATCTTTTTCTTTTCTTTTTTAAATATTGAATTACCGTATGTAGAATGTTACAATTTATATTTTTTTTAATTACAATTATTTTTCTTCACTTTGAATGCTATATCCTCTCTGTCTCTCTTTTCTTCAGCTATTGTAAGGTGTCTTGTGGAGAATGCAGGTCTGAGGACTGAAATAGGCTATTTTAGCCATTGTCAAAAGTTTTTTGTGAGGATTTCGCCAAATGTTTTTGATAATTGTCCTGCTAAAAGTCGAAGACAGAAACTTCCTGATAGTTGTTCAAAACATCTCTGTATAAGTGGAATTTGTGATTGCATTTAGTCTAATAAGGCTCTAATGTTTCTTTTTTTTCTTTTGCTGTTTTCTTTTTTGCTTCAGACTGCTTAGTGACTTAGACTTTATTTTTTTATTGTCAATTTGTATACATTCAGTGTATACAAATTGACAATAAAGAAATGATGTTGCTTACAGCTTACAACAGTGAAATGAGCATTACCATTTATTAAGTGCAGCAGTGATCATCATGTTATCAATATAGGAGTAAAGTAAAACCAGCTGAAAAAATAGTGGTGCAAAGGAGTATTACTATTGAAAGGTTCAGTGTAGTGCAAATTAAAATGGTTCAAAATGCAGTAGACCATTGATTTGTGTCTTATTTAAAAGGATTCTAAATGTTTCAGCCACGTTGCTAGTGCAAAAGGATGTTAAGAGTGAGATGCAGAGTCCAGTTTAGAGTTTAACAGTTCAACAGCTTAATGGCAGCAGGGGAAATGTTATTGCAGAACCTGATGGTGCTGCTTGTGCTTACAAGGCAACAGTGCTAACTCTGACACTGTGCTGCTTAAGTTTCTTTCCTTAGCAACACATTTCTTTGTGATGGGTTTTCCATAGAATGAATTTAGCTTAAAGCTGTGCAAGAAGAGAGAGAATAATAAAGAAAAAAGGACTTACGTCATCGCTTTTGCTGTGGACAGCAATGGTGCACATGGAGGAATAAACATGATTCAGTAACTGACCCACAGGGCCATCCTGTGGTTCTGCTAAACCCAACAACCTCACTTTAGCTCTTGCTTTTTGCTAAGGTTTCAGACTTTTCCATCCCCTTCTATGCTTTTCCTAAAACCCTAACAACTCCTGATCATAAGTCATTATTATCTTACAACCACTGTGAACAGATATGGCCACAGTGCCCTCTTTGGAAAAAAATGCAAGAATATTAAATGCTAAAAGTTTAGAGTCTCAGCAAATATTGTAAGCATTTGTTATGAATTTATTTTTTTTCCTTGAGACAATATTAGGAGGGATTGCAACATTTTTTTGCTGCTGTTTTTTTTTTTTATATCTCCCCCTCACAAGAGTTTAAATAAAATTGAAACCCTGAAGGGCTGGTTCAGTCACCCCAGCTGTACAAATATGCAAAGAGCACAATAATGAAGCAAATGAAATGAGGGTAATTCTTTCTTTTTGGCACTAGGGCCTGATATTTACAGTTCACTAGACAGTAAATTGTAGAGGGAGAAGGAGGAAAGAAGAAGCAAAGGTCTTAAGGTCAGGAAATTAAGCCAGGACTGCTGCATTAATAATTATACTCTAGATAACTCAGCATGATAAACTGCTTTTATCGTTCATATAGCATACATACATACATACATACATACATTCATACATACATACATACATACATACATACATACATACATACATGAATCTATACGTCTGTAAGTAGCTCCTTGTTTTTAATTTTCTTTCATAAATATGTAAATACATTTACATAATAATGTTAATATAGATAGTAATGTGATTTTAATCCCTATGGAAATTCTGACTTTATTGTCATAGTATTGACTTTACAAGCTTGGTTGTTTTTGTTTTTTATGTTTGCCTGCTTTAAGCAGTGGAATTGCCCCTCAGGGATAAAGTTTATATTCTATTCTATTCTATTCTACATTAGCTCCCTCTCTACTGCTACGCCTAGCAGCCATTAGGGCCTTTCCTAAATGTTAGCAGGCCTGCTGCGACAAACAGCCTTTTCATTTACACTTTAATACAATGTCAAAAGTGTAATCTATACTTTTTTTTTCTTTGCTGTGTTTTGCAGAGAAATCAGGTTGTCCCTCATTGGTAAAGCATGTTATACCTGTGTCCATGACATAGGTTGAACTCCCTGCTGTATCAGGACAGGCATACCAAATATGTGTGTAATTGGTAATAATTTGCTGTATCCCCTGAATAACGGAGCAACCAAAATAACTCACTTATTCAATTATAGAGAACTGGATTTTTTTGTCCTCTCCATTACAGTCAAAGCCTTATGTTCCAGGAGGTGATGAATATGGCGCATTGAACTTCCTGTTGTCCTGCACTGCCGTCTGTACATGGAAACCATAGATGGCGCTTGTAACAATAGAATTATTTTCGTTTAACCCATTCTTTGTATTACGGATAACGTATGCAATATTTCTAATAAAACCTATGGCTGGCTTTCTGAATTATAATTTCTTAAACTCAACAATGCAAAACTTGAATCCAAATAATTTGTTGCTTTATTTGTTTCCTTTAGTAATATGTATTATCTCTGAATACACATCTTCGGCAAATAGGGAGTGCATGCAGACAATTTACAAAAAAATCTGAATAAAATAAGAAAAGAACAAAATAGCTTCTCTCACAGGGACTCAGATTTTGATCATGTCATCTCACTTGAGGTGGGACACAAAAGAATCCTGACTAAATTAACATCTCTGTTGGATAATGTCTCCCACCCCATGCATGCAGCTGTTGCAGAACTGGAGAGCTCCTTCAGACTGCTGCACCCTAAATGCACCAGAGAGCGTTATCACAGATCCTTCCTCTCTGCCGCCTTAAGACTCTATAATAACCACCACTGTTCCCAACAACCTCAAAAAGTAGTTACAGTTATGCTGATTTTGCATATTTTCCACTTTATTCAGTGAAATAACATGCTGCTGTCATTTTTTGCACATCTCTGATGTTGCTGCTATTTTTAAATATTTATTACTACAAAAATCTCCATAGATGTATATTGGTTATACTGGTACATCCAGGTGCAAAGTATTTATGTTGTTAAAACACTTTACAGTGCAGCATTCTATTATGTTATTCATATACATTTTTCTAAGGTCCACATTTGTGTGACCATTTTTATCTACAATCTTTTTGCTGCTGTAAACATCAGAATTCTTCCATTGTAGGACAATAAAGGGATTGTCTATTCTATTCTATTCTATTCTATTCTATTCTATTCTATTCTATTCTATTCTATTCTATTCTGTTCTGTTCAACATTCTCGTCTACTTTCTCAGTAATGAGTAGCTGAAACCTGTAATTTAGAGAAGGGTGCCCCCTGCTGGACAAAAAATGGACTGAACTCGATGCTCAGTTCGTCTGAACGCCAACAGTCGGGAGGCAGAGCGGAGTCATGGAAACATCGTGTTTCTGATTGCCGAAGAAGAACCTGCTTGGCTGAGCAAAATGGCTGACGTTGAGATGGACATCATGTCCAGTAGAATGAATAATGGAAACGAGCACGTGTAAGTTTTTGCATTTAAATTAATTTATATGTATGGCTAGAGGACGTTCGCATTTTATAATACTCAGGTAAAAAAAAGCGAACAATTTTAAATGGGAGAAGGGAACAGACGCAGGCTAACGTTGTTACCGGAGCATGCTAATCGCTGAAGCTAACCGGCTAATGCTCTTAGCTTAGCTAGAACGAAGTTTTCCTAAACTCACCATTCGAACGTGTACGTTTACTGTACTCATCTGCGTTTGTTTCGCTGATGTGTCTGCAGACGCTCACGTGCGGAAAATACATTTTATACTATTTTTTTTTTAAACTCATTATCGTATGTTAGCTGTGTTCATTTAGCTTGCTAATTCTAACCGTTAAAGACGTTAGCATAACGTTAGCATGCTAATGAAACAGCCTCGGCGGTCTGGGTCAGAGGAAGGGTTAGCAAACAAAGTTGTCATGACAGTACATTTATTGTTCACTGTTACTGGTGCCACTTATGTCATCGTCGTTTTAGTTTGAGATTGAAGCAGGAACATTGCGTAATCCAACGGTTATATCTGGGTTTATGGTGGTTCGGATTATGATTATTACTATTGTTTTTCATTCAAGTATGTTCTGAACAGGAAGCGGATTAATTGCAGTGTATCTGCACAATGTTATGTTAAGTTACAGTGCTAGTCTTTTTACGTTTTTGAAGGATTTTTTTTGCATGCTTTTCACAATGACAGCTCCAATGTGAAAAGTGCTGTCAAGTTAGCTTTCCTGTATTATAAGGAATGTATTGGTAATTTTAAGTTGATGAGATATAATATTTTTAGATAAAAGTTAATAAAAATATTTGGTTATTTGAAATGCAAAAAAACAAAAGCCCTAACTCTTGAAGCCATAGCAGTACTATGATCCAACACTGATTTTGAGTCATTTGATCACATGACCTGAAAGATATCGGGGTAAAATGTTATTTTCATATAAAAATAAATTACAAGTAATGACAAATTTGAAATCCAAAATTATAAGGCATAACTTTTAAAACCAGTGATGTACTGTGATCCAAAACAGAGTTTGAGTCAATATATCACATGACCTGGAAGCTATTGAGTTTTAATGCTAATATGTCCATATAAAACGCAATAACATCCACCTCATTCTATGTAATACTTGCCTTTTTGTGTACTCAAATGTAAAAGCAAATAACTAAGTCAAAGTCAAAAGTCAAAAAGCCTTTATTGTCATTATATTCTGCGACAGATACAATGAGATTTGGGACTTCCATAACAGCTACCGTGAAATAAAAAAATATAATAAAAAATATATAAATATATTAAAAGGAAAAGGAAATGTAAACAGTTAAAAAAATATATATAAATATATTAAAAGGAAATGTAAACAGTGAAAAGGAAATGTAAACAGTACTGGCACAGATTGTGGGGGGGGGATAGTGCAAAACAGGTGTAAAGTGACCGACAGTGCAGGTCGGAGTTGAGGGGGGGCAATGGCTTGGGGAATAATGCAAACGAAGGAGCTGTAAGGCCAATTTACTCAAGTGATACACATTTGGAAGACAACATCTTCTAGTTTCTGAAAATATACATAAGGATGGTGTGAATAAAGCACAACCTAAACTGCATCAGTTGCAACATGACTCATAGCTGTTGTTTTTTTCTTCTTCTCGAAAATAATAAGTCTGTTTTTAACAGTAACAAAGACACACTTGATAGCAGGCATGTGTCACTACGTCAGATTTATTCTCCATCATGTGGCCCACAACACCAAAAAAGTGTCAGAGCTATGGGACCAATGTTCCCTATAATGTTTTTTGTTTCTGAGTACACTTACAAGTACACCGAGCATCACTGTGAGCAACAACAGATGTGCACGTCTAGGCCACAAAATACGTTATATCATTATGATCATAGCAAGTTACATGGATTATTAAAGTCATTAGAGATTAGAGCAGCAATTTCCATTGGTTCATGTTTTGTTTAAGTGATTTTGCCCACTTAAACTGGGGAAAACAAATGTAGATTTTTTTTGTCATAAGATGTGTAGTTATGCTATATGTAAGAGTCAAGCTTTGGCCAGGGTGAGGATCATGCTCTGGAAGAAATGAGAAGTTCCACCTTTCATACATTACTATATATGATTGAAGTGTTTTTGTCTTTGAAATTGAGCATCGTCTGGATTTCTTGAAATTGTAAAATTGAAATGGTTTAAATGTTAAACTTCGGTTTCAAATGCCTACTATTCTAGAGGTATTTCAAAGCAAAACCAAAATCCTCCCTAGCCCAGCAGGACCGGTTTGTTACATTCCTGCCATGGTTTTGGACCTGTGCAAAAACTTTGGTCAACATATTCTTGACCCTAATTTGAAGTAGATTCTTTTTAGACAGTCTTGGGGAACATCTTCTTTTCAGCATTTTCCTTTTTATCATCTTCAAACAGAAAGCAAGACCTGGAAACACATGACAGAAGTGGAAATGAAGACAGCGGAGACTTGTCGGAAGAAGAGGGTGAAGAGGTAAAAACGAAGTGTTTAAAAAAATGCTGGTTTGGGTTTGAACTTTTTTATTAAATGTTTAATTTTATTTTTCCTTGCGTACTCTTTCTCCCCTCTTCTTCTGTTGTTTAATGATCTCTCACCTTGGTTTTTGTACATTGCCTTAAGAATTATTCCTTGAACATTATCCCATTTTATTACTTTACAGCCAACGAAAAAATTTGTTTTTTAATGTCTGTTTCTGTAACTGACAAATAAAAATTTTTTTAATGTTGGCATCTGTTGAATGAGCTCTAAAGCAGGTGGTAGCCTTATTAATAGTATAGCACTGAAAGAGACTGAATACAAAACCCTTTTCTAGTGTCTTAGTAAGGTGTGTAGAGAAGCTTGAAACCTTTTTCCTTCAACGTCACCATTATAACGGCATATAAAATCTACCAAAATATTTATTGAAGTTTGAGGCAGTAGCATGACAAAATATTACATTTTAATAATAAATAAGCCTGTCTTACAATATTATCAATCACTGAAGGTTTTTTAACTATTTTTGGCAATTTATTCACATCTTAAGTTCAAACATTCCCTCTACTACCTTGTTTCTAAATAAGCTATATTAATTTGTTTATTAAATTGAATAGATTTAGACAAAATTAGGTTCCAGTAATAAATTAAAGCTTAGATGCGGTTTCTTTGCTGTTGTCTCAGTTTGAATGTTGAAGTTTAGTCCGCCCTATTAAAAACAAAAATGTTAACTTGGAAAATTAAGATATTGATAATGGATAGATTATGTTTTTCTTCTAAAGATTACAAGTTAAGACTCTGTTCCTGGTCTTACTGCTAAGTTTAATTCCTTTATTGTTCCAAACCAGGAGCAGGAGCAGGCTGGAACTAACGGTGAGAAGACTGAGGAAGGGTCCAAACATCACAGCAGCAGCAGCGGGAAACACAAGAGGAAAAAACACAAGCATCGCAGCAAGCACAAAAAACACAAGCATGCATCCGAGGAGGACAAGGAGCGCAAACGCAAGCATCGTCACAAACGTCGGAAACACAAACGCAAAGAGACATCCTCGCCCACCGGGGATGTCTCCTTTGGCTCTGCTAGCAACAGGAAGTTGGAATCTTCTCCATCCTCGGGAAATCCCAGTCTGGATGACCGAGCCGTGTTGGAGGATCTGGAGAAACAGAGGGCTATGATCAAAGCTGAACTTGACAGCCAGCTGATGGAGGGAAAGGTTCAGTCTGGCATGGGTTTGATCCTTCAGGGTTATAACTCTGGGTCTGAGGAGGACGGGGATGCAAGGTTTAGAAATGGAGAACAGCGTCCAAGAGGCAGCTCAGGTAAACTCGTATCCCCCAGAGGGGAAAAAAGCGTGAAATCTAGAAAAGACTCAACAGATGGCAGCAAAGCTAGTTCTAAGCGTCGCAGTCGGAGTAAGTCTGCAGAAAAACCCACCAAGGAGACTAAGCCTGAAAAGGGTACCAAAAGCAGCAAAGAAGCTGCTGTTAAAGACCGAGGACGCGCGAGGAGCAGATCAAAAGACAGAAAACAGTCAGGCAGCACAGATCGCTTTAAGGAGAAAAGGAGGTCTAATTCTCCCAGCGTAAGGAATGAACAAAAAGTCAGTCGCTCTGACAAACGTTCTTCTCCGCAGCGAGAAGACAGACCAAACCAAGAGAGACCGAGCAGACGGTCTAAATCACCTGTACGAGAACGGCCGAGTCGATCAGAAGCGGACCGGGACAAGCGGCCTGCGAAATCCCCCTCTAAGGACACCTCACTGGGAAAAGAGAACCGATCTCCTCATAGACGAGGGCCCCACAGCCCGACAAGGAAACGCAGCGCTTCCCCCCGCCACAGAGATGGCCACCACACCTCTGCTAGTGCCTCAGACAGGACTAAACATTCTCCATCCAGAAGGTCCCCGCCTAGGAGAGCACGCAGCCGCTCGCCAGAAGCCAGGAGGAGGGAGGCAGAGAGGCAGGACTCACCTGTGAGGTTGGTTAAAGCTGCATAGGTCCATTCCCACATACAGAACACTATAATTGCATTACTTTTCTTTAGTATCTTGAAAAAAATGACTTTTTGGCAACACATACTTTTAAACTGATGCAGTTAAAAAAATAAAACCTATATGTTTTGCAACTTTGTACAAATACTGTTGCATTTCGGTTGCATTATGTTTTATTTATAGAAATACTACCCAAGCTTTAAATGTTACAGAATGATTGAAACCATCCAGGAGCAAGACTACTGGTGTGATATCTCAGTCTTCGATACCACAAAGTCATTTCTGAAGAACTGCCTCAGAGTGCTGTTGTACAGCTGAATCAAAGGGAAATGAATGGTGAAAAAAGATGGAGTAAAAATGTACATTTAAGTCTTTATAATGATTTTAAAATAAGATTTGGATTTACCTGTACACTACAATAATCAAACCTAAAAAAATAAATTAGTCCCACAATAATTTTACTTGCGTATTACGTAATTTTAATTTCTGTAATATATATGATGTCTGTTATAGGTGAATACTAAAAAGATCCATCTCTTAATTGAATGATTTTCATGGATATTTAAATTATGACTGTGATATACTGTTTGATTTTTTGTGACATTTGAGCATTTTAAATCAGTTTAATAGACATTATTTTATAATAATCTGACTTTTGGCACCAAGAAGCACTAAATTAAAACTAATTATTTGCCAACGGTGTTTCTTTTATTTGTTTTTTAAAATTAAAACATATTAAAGCCAAGGCCTTTTTCATTATTTAAAATCTTACTGAAAGCAAAAGGACAGTAAACAGTCAACAGAAATGAGTCAATGATGTATTTTCCTGTGCAGAAAGCGATCTCGAGCTGACGGCGGACTACTCAGAGACAGATCGAGGGAGAAGAGTCCCAGGTCTGCTTCCCGTCGCAGAATTAGCCGCTCCCCTCTAAGAAGGAGGTCTCCTTCACCACCACGACGCTCTCGCTCCTCACCCCGAAGGCGAAGCAGGTCTCCACTTAGACGCAGGTGATTGAGGCTCATGTATTTACTTAGAACCCATCCTCTTTGGTAGAAAATGTTACTTTGTGTCTCGCAAAACCAGAAGATTTGTCATCTTTTTTTCCCCATTTGCTGATGTCATCTTGTTTTAATAACTAAATCTGTCCATGCTGAAATTATAGGTCTGGTGAGAGAGACAGGTATGGAAGACTCCGTCAGTATCGGCGCTCAACTTCGAGGGATCGAGAGAGGAGAAGACGGCGTAGCCGAGATGAAGATAAGTTTAAAGGAAGCCTTTCAGAGGGGATGAAACTTGACCAAGAGTCCTCAGACGATGAAATGTGAGTCAGAAAAGTCTTTGTGATTAGTTAAATATGCTATATTACACTGTCCTTAAGCTGTGCAGTGTTTTTAAAGGTATTTCCCTATAAAAACTTATAAGCCATAATAATGTGTGCTTAACCTCAGACTTGAGTCTAATGAGTCCAAATTTATTCCAGTCAAGGTACAGAGAGAAATCCGAATAAGAATCTGTGGTAAGACTGGAAAAGAGGTGTTCAGAGACATACGCTATACAAAAAGGATGTGGCAATCCAATATCGAATATCATTTTGATATCAGCCAAAAAACTTTATACTGGATTTTATCAGCTGGCATTTAAAGTATCAGATAATTTCATGCTGAAGTAAACACCCTGCTTCTGTTAAAAGTTTCTGTAACTCACCAGTTAATTCTACAACCGTCAGATGTTTTCAAACCTTTTGTTGCTCAAATTCGTTGACAGTTTTTGTAATATTTTACTTAGTAAAGCCTTTCCTCATATTCTCCAGTATCAAATGGGTCATAAAAGCTGGTTTGATTAGTGTTAATATTTTATCAGGTCCATATCTGCCAATTCTGAAAGCTGCAATATTGGAATGGAGAAAGAAGTTTTCTATTTTTATGTGCGTAAATGGCAGATAAAGACTAATCAGTAATCAGTAAGCAGAAACTAATGTGACAGAGTATTTTCTCAGGTACATGTAGATCACACTTTTTATGTTTTTATTAATTAAGGCATTAAAAATTAAGCCTAAGTTTCTTCTACTTCACAATGTACCATTTAATTTTGAGTTATGACATATAATCCTACAGTTAAGGGAAGTTTGTGGTTGCAAAATGTGAAGAAGGTTAAGGATTACATAAACCGTTGAAAGGCTCTGTATTTGGAGTTTTATTTTGCTGAAGTTGGGCAGTCCCAAATTCTGTTTTGTGTAGTAATGATATTATACTCTGTTGAGCAGCTACTAATAATTATTATAATAGAGTCCTGGTATTCGAATTGTCTTGGGGTCGATTAATTGATTAAAAACCTAGTGTATATTTGCCAAAATTAAGGGGAACAATTTCCGCATTCTGACCTGCTACGCTAAATTATTTTGGTGAGAACCCTGATCATAAAGAAAGCCTTCATTTCAATACTGACAGGGCCTCAGAGGACAGGTTCCCTCTAGCTTTACAGAAAACGAGCAAAAAAATTGTCATTGAGACAAGAGAGGGGTTGAGATGCTGCAGGACCTTAGACTGTCTGCTTTTGTTACATTTAAAATAATTCAGTATTAATCCTTGTTCTTGATGAGACACCGCATCTGCAGTGTAAGAAAAATGTTCATTTGGGCACAGCTGTTTGTGGAGACTCCATGCAAAAATTTGTAGACACATCTGCATGTGTATAAATGGCCTTTTAGAGTTTGAAACTTTTGTTTGAGAAAGGGAACTAATTTCTTTGTTTCCTGTTGTTTGCAGGTTGGAAGACTTTGAAGGTGAGGAGATTGATGAAGAAGCTCTTATTGAGCAGCGTCGTCAGCAGCGCATGGCCATTGTCCAGGTTTGTTGACGTCAACAATGTCCTTTACCCAAAGATTTTCTGTACTTCAATGGAGAAAGCTCATGTTTCTCGGGTTGATCCATTCTTTCCTCCCTTTTTGTGTCGCACAGAAATACAAGACTGCAAACGAGGAGAACAACATGGTGTCTGAGCCAAACAGCCCCCAGAGCAGCACACGTAGCCGATCGCCCTCACCCGATGACATCTTGGAGCGAGTCGCTGCAGATGTCAAGGAGTACGAGAGGGAGAATCTCAACACGTTCGAGGCCAGCATCAAAGCAAAGCACAACCTCATCGCCCAGGAGAAAGACGGTAAAGTCCCATTGGAAATAACTTCTGTTGGCATAGAAAGCCAGTGGAATAAACAATCATTCGGCCGTGTGTAGCTCCAGTGGAAAGTTCACAAACTCCCAAAGAGATATTTAACTAAATTTTAATGATTTACATTCAGATTTGAACCTGGATTTACAACTTTTCACTCGTTAGAAAATTTCTGTTCATCATCCAACCCTTAAAAAAAAAGATATATTTAAAGAAATTTGAAGTATAGAAATATAGAGTTGAAGATGCAGCTATCTTGAATTTTCGCTGTTTTTTCGCTGTTCTTTCAAGTTACACTGTTAAGCCTTTTGATAAAGTACATAATAATTTAGGGAAGGTAACAGGGAATTTCCAGCTTCCAGTGGGTAACATTCCCATTTTGAGGATCAAAGAACTAAAGGCTCCATCTCAGGAATGTCCACATTTAGACTATGTTTGGCTTTATTCCTCTTGGGGAAAATAAAAGTTTCCCTAAGGTGGTAACCAATACAGAAACTAGAAAGGAAAGAAGTTCTAAGGATGAAGTCTTAATACATTACAGGTCTACCTTTTCTTTCAGCGTGATCCATAAAGACACATAAGTATGAACAGCTCCCTGCAGTGTGTTCCAGGTTGGTTGTCCTATAAGAACATGGAGCTGCCTGTCTGAAACATGCAGCATTGTGAGGCAGGGATTTTAATGGAATATCTTTCTCTGTCATGTGTTCATTCAGTTGCTGGCTTGTTTTCCAAAGCCTGGTTGTGTCTGCATCCTGCAGCATGTTTTGATCTCTGCAGAGTATGTTAATCAAACACATGTTCCAGATATACTGTTAAATTAAATCATATGTGGGCCGAGGAACTGATGACCTCTTCCGATTGGTGTTTTGTTTGTTTCAGCAGCCAACCCAAAGAAGCCGTCAGCTCCCGATATGTTTACAGAGTCTGATGACATGTTTGCTGCTCATTTCGATGTAAGTAACGACAGCAAAGATATTCTATGGCAAATGGGAGAAACAGATGCGAAAGATACATCTGTAATTGAGGTTACTGCTGCTGTCTTTGCAGAGTGCCAGAATGAGAGCAGCAGGTGTTGGAAAAGACTTCAAGGAGAATCCTAACCTCAGGGACAACTGGACCGACGCTGAGGGATACTACAGTAAGTGATCCAAAATACTTGTGACTGAAGTTAATCCTGCAACATAGAGCAAACCAGTATTGGTATTTCTTTTGTCTGATTTTTCTGTCCGTATGTAGACTGCACTGATCTTTATTTAAGGTGGTAAACAGTCCAGTTTACATAAACGCTTTTTTCTCTTTCCAAGGGGTGAACATCGGTGAGACCCTGGACAAACGTTATGATGTGTACGGCTACACAGGCCAAGGTGTGTTTAGTAATGTGATCAGAGCCAGGGACACTGCCAGGGCTGGCCAGGAGGTGGCAGTCAAGATCATCCGAAACAACGAGCTCATGTGAGTCCCACTTCTTGACTGGAAAGAAAAATTATAGTTTTTGTGCTGCTTTAAAGTTATGTATGTTTAAAGAGTTTCTGAGGAGTTTGGGAAAGTTAGGAATTTGGTTTTAATATTTTTAAACCTGGATAAATTTAGGGAAAATGGAAGGGGCTCTGTATTAGGGAGGGTTGCAGTTATTGGATCTTGACCTCATAAATTTCGATGGAAAACACCAGACTATTGGGATTCCTGCATTTGCTCACAATTTTTTGGTTTTTAAACCATTTCCAGTTCATATGAAAATAATCTGAAAAATGTTTAGTATCTCTTTTCAGGTTTTAAAATATTGATGAGATGTTTTATAAATTTTGAGATTTGCTTCTTAAAAAGAGCATAAATTATTTACCTGAAAACTTTAACTGAGCTGTTTTGCCTAAAATCTAAATGTAATTATGTTTGTTTGTATTCTTTTCAACCCAAATTGCAATAAACACGTAGATGTTTTGTTTTTATAACCTTGAAATCTTGCCTGCCCAGAGTTTGTTGTTACTGAACTTAACTGTTGCTGTTGTGTGAAAAGAAAATGCTTGCTTCCATTTGCATGCATGGCTCTGCTACTAGCTGCAACTCTTTTCCTTCTCTGTGGCTGCAAACCCACCTTATTCTTATTATTACAGCCTCCTAGAGTGAGTGAATCATTCCTTGACTTACTCATAGTTACACTAAAGTAACCAAAAATGACAGCCCCTGCAATTTGAAAATTATGTTTTGTGAAATTACAGTAGTATTGAAAATGCTATTAAATGCCCAGCCCTACTGAAAATGTACGGGAAGTCTTCATGGTGAATATAAAAATGTATGTCTACCATGTGTGTTTTTTGCTAAACAGGCAGAAGACGGGTTTGAAAGAGTTAGAGTTCCTCAGGAAGCTGAACGACGCTGACCCCGATGACAAGTTCCACTGCCTTCGCCTTTTCCGCCACTTCTACCACAAGCAACATCTTTGTCTTGTTTTCGAGCCCCTAAGGTACTGAGCACCGGCTTTTCATGTTCTCCTCCCACATTACAGCATTTCTCACCTCAATTGTCCGTGACCTTTGTCTTTTGTAGCATGAATTTGCGAGAGGTGTTGAAGAAATACGGCAAAGACGTGGGGCTCCACATCAAAGCTGTGCGTTCGTACAGCCAACAGCTCTTCTTGGCTCTCAAGTTGCTCAAACGATGCAACATCCTCCATGCTGACATCAAGCCAGACAACATCCTGGTATAATCAAAATTAAAGCCTGCTATGATGCTCCAAACGGGCATCTATAAATATGAAACATAATTGTATTATGATTGTATTTTTTTTATGAAAGGTGAACGAATCCAAAACCATCCTGAAGCTCTGCGACTTTGGATCTGCATCACATGTTGCTGACAATGACATCACACCATATCTGGTCAGCCGGTTTTACAGGGCTCCGGAAATTAGTAAGTTTCACATTTTTAATCAAAGATACTAAAATGTATGCAATGTACTTTATATTCAAACCTTTGGTATAGAGCTTGGTAATATCAGTCCAGGATCCAACAAAGTCTAAATTAAACCTGACCATGCTAAAAAAAATTAATCCAAAAACTAAACTTTTCATGTTTAAAATATTCAGTAAAACTATCAAAAACATCTATTAATGTTATGTGTTAAAGTATAAGATTTTTTTTATTAAAAACTGTGGCAGAAATCTTTTCCTGTAACTTCAGGCTCTGGTCTGATGGAAGTAAAACTAAGCTCAAGTTGCAAGCTCACTGATAAGTATGGTGGAGGATCTGTGATGCTGTGGGTCTGTACCTTTTGTCGAAGCGTTCGGCGTCTTGATGAGGTGCTAATGATTAATAACTTTTAATAAACTGAACATTGGTGACTTCTGGCAATCAACTGAAAATGGGTCATCACCGTATGACGACACAAAATCCACCTCCTTTCATCCCGTTCCTTGAATATTAATAATAATAATTTATTGATCTCGCATCAGAGAAATTTACCTCTACATTTAACCCATCCCCTTGGAGAGCAGTGGGCTGCTATTGTGCGACGCCTGGGGAGCAATGTAGGGTTAAGTGTCTTGCTCAGAGAACCAGAGTGGCAGTCTGTGGGAGTGGGGCTCAAACTCAGAACCTCAGGATTCCAAGCTCCGTGCCCCAACCACTAGGTCACCATTACCCCACATCATCATCAACTGATGTTGTTGTCAGTACAGGACCAATTCTACTGGCCCCTGTTGGCCCCCATCTAGAAAACCTTATCAATTACCTGAACTCGTTAATAATTATTCTGCCATTTATACAACTTCTAATCTCCAATAGAACCATATGTTCTATTTTTTTAAATGCGGCATGTTGGAAGCTCACACAAAAACTCAGGATCTCTTTTGGCTTGTTTGTAAGACTATTTAAGTCCTTGATCGCCTGCTAGCTGTTAGATCCAACATGTAAAACACAACATATGGTTTTATTGGATATTAGAATAAATGGCACAGGAATCATTAACAAGTTTAGGTAATAGGTTAGGTTTTCTGGATGGGTGGTTCTAGATGGGGGCCAACAGGGGCCAGTAGAACTGGTCCTGGACTGACAACATAATCAGTTTATGGTGATGCAAGAACAGAAGCTATAACAGATTGTTCTGTTGGACCAATTTCAGTTTTTACCTCTAGAGTTTTATTTTAATTATTTGAAAATGTTCTAATCTGCTATATTAAAAAACAAAAACAAGTAGGATGTAGAACCACTGGTATTCTGACATTTTGCTGAAATAAGAGATTCATTTCTTTTAAGCTTCTTACCTTTTCTATCAGCGGCCCATCAGACGTTGAGTTTCTGTTGATTCTCAGTTTTACCTGAACTTTCTCCTTCAGTCATAGGAAAGCCTTACGACTACGGCATCGACATGTGGTCCGTCGGCTGCACTTTATACGAGCTGTACACCGGCAAAATCCTGCTTCCCGGTTCTTCTAACAATCACATGCTCAAACTGGCCATGGACCTCAAGGGCAAGATGCCCAACAAGGTAACACATTGCATCACATCCCTTTATTGAAGTGAGAAGCGACGCTGTTCTCTGATGCAACCGTGTGGTTTCTCCTTTTAGATGATCCGTAAAGGCTTGTTCAAAGACCAGCACTTCGATCAGAACTTGAACTTCCTGTACATTGAAGTAGACAAAGTGACTGAGAGGGTAAGATGATGATACGACTTCAATGACATGTTTATCATGCTTTTAAAGAGAAAGAAACTTTATTACATTTTTGTAACTTTTCAATCACAAATGTATATATTTGTATTTTGCTAAAATTTAATTGGTGCATAATGAAGTAGAAGGAAAATTATATAAATATGTATTGATGTTGATCCGCACTTAATTGACACCTCTACATTAATCCAGTGCAATCGGTTGCATTAACTATCATATTAATTGATGTTTGAAAACCTCAGAGGTTTGTTACATTATTTTTCCTGACATAATTGACCCTGTTTCCTTTTATAGTATCTAGTATTAAAGATATTTAGTGCAGGTAAGGTTTATAATGGCCATTATATTTAACATGCATTGTTTCAACATTTGAATATGAAATATGGTTTTCTGAAGATTTTGTAAATACTTCTTGGAACCTGCCACTGCTTTGTCTGTCGATATTTCTGATCAGTTCTTAACAAACTAGCTTAGGGTTGGTCTGATTGGATGGAATTTCAGTTTCCATGTAAAGCTGCAGATTTCCAGCTCAATGCATACTTTGGCATTCCTGAGCCATTGTAACCCATGAACCATCCCTCTGAAGCCAGACGGCGTGTTTAGGGTGGTTGTCCTGCTGCGAGATAAACATTTCAGCTTCAACAGATTTATTCCAACGGTTCCCTGTATTTAGCTCCATCCATTATCATCCTGTTCAGCCTCACTCTTCCTGCTCAACAAGCACATGGTGCTGCCACATCATTTCACTGGAAGGCTGGTGTTTGGATGATGCTGTTATTTATATCACTCATGTCTGTTATGGTCCCTCTGTCGGGCCTTGTGGGTTTATCAGCATGAAAGTCACAGACAAAAACACAGCAATCAGCCGACTTAGAGGTGTATCCATTAAAGATTTTTGGTTTGATTTGACTCTTTATATTTATTTTAGCTGTTATCATTCCTCCTGTTTGCTGCTACATCACTCGCAGGAAACAGGACTTCCTGATGGGTTCCTTCTTCCATAACGACCAAATTTGTTAGTTGATGTTTGAAGGAAGCTGGGTTCACAGAATTTTATTCTCATTTCAAATTTATTTCTATGGAGTAATTGTTAAATTCCCTTCCTGTAATTACCCACTTCATTTTGGTCTGTAGCACAAAATCTTATTTAAAATTTGTCATTTTTTTGTATCTGTGTCAAAATGTAAAATATGAAGACTTCATTGTTTTTTACAAGGTGCTACATCTGTCATGTGTCTGTTCCAATAGGAGAAAGTGACTGTGATGAGCACCATCAACCCCACCAAAGACATGCTGGCAGAACTGATAGGCGGTCAGCGACTGCCTGAGGACCAGAGGAAGAAGGTCATGCAGCTGAAGGACCTGTTGGAGAGCACGCTGATGCTGGACCCGGCTAAACGCATCAGCATTAACCAGGCTCTGCAGCACCCCTTTATCCAGGAGAAAATCTAACAGCTGAAATGCCGCATACACTCCGAGAGCCGAGGGGACAGACGCAACCACTAAACCAGCTCTGTAAGGGACTCAGCAGCGAGGCCACTGACCTCTACAAACTTACAGAATGTTTTTGTCTTTTTTTTTTTTCCCTGTTCTACGTTACGTGTTGGATTGTAAATAGATCACTGAAACGGTAGCCATTCTCCACGCTTATTTTTTCATTTGGTTTACCCCTCATACACTGAAATGCAGGGAGACTTTATTTAACTGGGACTGGAGTTACAGATGTTTGAAATAAAACTATAATTCCTGTACATACTTTGTCTATTGCATCAACATCATCAAGCAGCAGGCAGTTGAACTTTGTCGTAGAACCAGACGTCACATTTTTTTTTTTTTTACACTGCATTGCTACCTGTGGGACAATGCATGCTTTCTGAATGTGCACCTTCTGTACTCCGTATGTGGTGCCAGCCTGTGTAAATGCTCTGTGTCTGCAAATCCCGTGTCCCACATGTAAGAGCAAACCGTACCAACATCATCCCACGCCCTCACACACCAACACCTGAACCGAAGGAAAAAAATGCAGAACATGAATTGTTGATTAATCTTACATTTCTGGATTGTTTTTGGTTTTTAACCGTTTTCCTTCCTCCTCCTAGACTCTGGCTACATCCTGGCTCTAAAGGCTCTCACATTCAAGTGCCTCCTGTATGAGCCGTGTGTTTTTAACGCCAAACAATTTTGGCCTGTAAAAACCACACCAGTTGCCACCCCTTCCCCAGATGTTGTGTATATATAGTCCACAGGTAACTGTCCTTTCCTGTATCTTTGATTTCTTTCTTTACATCCAGTGGTAAAACCAATCTTGTGATTTCAATAAATGATAGTTGTGGAAACGCTGCCGTAAGAGCACCTTCAATATCAAATTGCTTTTTAGTAATAAAATGTTTCCCAATATGTTCAAACTCATGTGTTTTGTTCATTTTCAGTCATGGTAACTTGACAGGTTGAACACATTTACCTGTCAATAACTGAATAGAATTCAAAAGATATAATATTGATTGCTGTAATTAAGAGTGCCGTTCTGTCAGACCAGCATACCCATAGTCAATACCCATTTATCCCTTTAGTTTTGTATGAAAATACACTCTTAACTATCTCAACGGGCGTGTATCCCTTGAGTCATGTACAAAAAATGATTCAATTACTTTTTACTGTTTTTTAAGGCGATCTGACCTTAAATTGTTTTTTTGTACATGACTAAAGAAAATAAATGCCTATCGAGGTAGTTTAGTCTATTTTTTGTGATAAACTAAAGAGATAAACGCGAATCTGATGTCTTGCTCATGCATGTTGACTATAGGTATGTTGGTCTGAGGGGGTATGCTGATCTGCAAGAACACTGTCTATTTACTGTCTTAGTTGTATCATTTGGTTTTACTTTAACTACTGTGTAGTTCGTTTAAAGTACAAGTTTCATGTTTCCAATTTCTGGTTTGAGCTGAGACAGCAGTGTGAACAAATGTGTGTTTAGAACAGCAAACAAATACAATAGCTTCTAATAAATTCTATGAAAACAGACATTCAAATCAAACAAAAAACACCAAGCATGTTCTTTATGGAAGTAGTTCTTACAAAAACTCCATTTGAAAACAAAATACCTTTATTAAGACAACCTTTTATGTTGCACAGTTCAGTAGTGTTTAAAAGACATCGACATTACTGTGATAGATCTGAAGACTTGATTAATAATTATAGATTCTTAGTAAAATGTTTTTAAAAAGCTTTGCACGGCAGAATCACAGGGAAAGCTTTCCATCCACAGAGCTACCCAAAGTAGAGCTCAGTAACAGGTAAGAGAGTAAATGGAGTCATCTGTGCTTTAGGATGTGTGGAAGGTTTTCCATCTGAGAAACTGCTGCCCTCTACCAGACTCTTTGCCAAAGATAAGCTTGTCTCGGTGGTTTTTACTTGTCCTCCCTCATCCCTGTGTTAATCTGGCCCAAAGACCATTTTATTGATTGTACAGGTAATTATTTCTACATTTGTAAGTGAAGAAAATGCAATTTAAGCATCAAACTGTGTTTTTGTAACTACATGTAGAAATTAGTATACATGCTAACATAATCATTCTTGGGGGGCCTCAGTTGCCCCCGGGCCCTAAGCAAGTAGCACTTAGCTTATATATTGGGCTGGCCCTGTTCATGCCCTGACCTATAACAGGGGCTCCTAAAGCAGGGTCTACAATAAGACTTTTGGAATCATGTTACCCCTGAAGAATATGGAGGACAAATGGGGCAAAATTCATAAATCACAAAAATAAAAGAAGGTGACACACAAACAGGACACAGTCTCACCTGTTCTGTCAGCAGGAACAGACTAAGATTAAAAATGACAGGAAACCAAAAATGTTTGCTTGAAATGGCAATTCCAATTAAAAGGTTAAGTGTATGTAACATAGACTTATATATATATAAAAAAAAAAAAAAACTACAAAATAATCGCTTTACTGTCAGATATTCGGTATTTAAAAATAACATCATAACCGAGTTAAAACCGGAAAAAGTAATTTTATTTCTTAAAGTTTCTTTTCGTTTTTTTTTTACAAGACTGTCTTAAATCTATATGAACCTCACTCTTTAATTGATTCTCTGGGTTAAACTTAGATGCACCTTTTATAGAATACTATCAGAGACATCTCACCTTTTAAATTTAGTCAGGATTACACTTAAATTGAGGCTCCATAAAGCAAAATTGGAGGTCCGATTGTGAAAACGTCTCCCCTTTGCTCCATTTTCAAAGGTAGAGTTATGCAGGGTCTCTGCACATGTACAGAATGTCCTAAAAGGGGCCCCTGATAGCAGCTGATGGCCTGTCAACCTCAAGGGGTCTGTAAATACACAGAGAGTGCAGTGGGCGAAGCGCTGCTAAACAAGCCAGCATGAATGACCCGGCAGGCTAACAGCTGCTAGCTTTAATCTCAACATGAAGGGATGATGATATGACTGCCTTTAATGTGAAAATGTAAGCAAAGAAGTCATTTTTGCCTATCAAATTCATGAGTGAAGGTGGGGGCACTGCTGAGCCAACCAGATCATGTAACATCTCAGATACATCAGTAGAGGGCGCCAGAGATGGCTCACATCTTCTAGGAGCTGAACTATAAAAGGGAGGCTAGAATTTTTATTTACTTTAAATGTGCATAATTAGAATATTCCCTAATGAGCAATGAGAGAAATGCTCTCCAGATTAAGATCATAGATACAAAAGTGAAACCAGCTTGTAAAATACCAACCTCTTGAAACACCCCAATGTTATTTGCTTTGTAACTTTCATTTGCAGATTTCTACAGGTCTTCCACTATAGATTAGGTCTGGCTGCAGAAATTCTACATGATTTCATTGAACTTCTTATTGTTTCCCCATCTGGCTTCAGTTTCCGTCTGACGGATTTTTTTATTCTTACGAGCTCTAAATGCACCAGGGAGCGTTATCGAAGATCCTTCCTCCCAGCAGCTGTAAGACTCTATAACCACCATTGTTCCCAACAACCTCAATAAGTTGTTAAATTCATGCTGATTCTGCAGTCTCTACCTTAGTCAGTAATGCGGTCATTTTGCTCATCTCCGATGTTGCTGCTATTTTCAAATGTTTATTACTTTGAACATTTCCATAGCTGGACATTGGTTATTTATTCTCCGGGTGAACAGTTTTTATAATGTTAAAACACTTTTAAATACAGTATTTTATTGTTTATCTTTTAACTCTTCACTCTTATGTTATTCTTATAAATTTGCTAAGGTCCATATTTGTGTGACCATTTTTTCTATTATGTATTTGCTGCTGTAAACAGCAGAATTTCCCTATTGTGGGACAATAAAGGGATTTTCCATTCTATTCTATTCTTACTGTGCAATTGAAGCCTGTGCCCCAACATGCTTTGCCTTTAGTCGCTCTGAGAAGAACATCACCTTTCCTTTGGATTTTTCTAAGATTTTTATTTACTATTTTTTCTCCTCTAGCGTTCCTTCCCTCCAAATCAGCTTAAAAACCACTGATCTGAGGTTCTTAAAGCCTTTTTTTTTTTTTGTTTAATCTGAAAAGTTATTTTAACAGTTATTAGTTGGGGATTGTAGGAGTATTAGTTCTTTAAAATGTTTTTGCATTTATGTTTTTCCATTTGGTTCTTCTTAAGGTATGTGATAATATTCACATACATTTCCAGCCAAGTCCTAAAGAAAAAGAAAATAAATTATTTTAGGTTTTTGATTTTGATTATAATAAAATCATAGCAATCTGCTCCTATGGAAAATGTGTAATTAATAGTGTTTTGCAAAATTATTACCAACCCCTAAACCTACTTATATTTTGTCACGTTAAAAATACAATCAGCAGTATTTGGTATAGGGACGTAAGATGATAGACCTAAACAAATGAGTATTAAATTGCTTTTTTATTTTTTGTAAAACAGCTGAAGCTCAGGCCTGGAAACATCATCTCAAGGCTTATGACAGATTATTGTGTTGAGGGTTTTAAATTGGTACTTTAACTAGACCATTTTAAAATTATTTGTTTTTAACCAGGGATTTCAAACTCAAGTCATTGAAAGCCAACATCTTGGAACTTTTAGAAATTTCTCTGATACAAAACACCTTGATTAAATGGGTTAATGCTGCTTGGGGTTCATTTTTCATTACCAATTACTTAAAGTCAAGCTCCTCGGTCCTTTAACTGACCTAATTATTTGATCTATGTGTGTTAAAGCAGGGATACAGCTAAAGATGCAGGACATCCCTGATCTAAACCATTCCATTCACACTTTGGATGTTGGTTGATTGATTGACTTTATTAATTTCACAGTAAAGAAATTTACTCGTTAATCGTCACAAAATATTTAAAAAAGAATGTGTCAAAGGAAGAAAAAGATACATGGATATATACAGCATACACAGTGTGTCCACATATGGCAGCTTTTCTTTTTAGGATTATTATAAAAGGTTTTTGCAAAGGGTGTTTGCATGGATATTTATATAGCTGTTAAGGTTAGCTGTCCTGTTGGAAGGTTAACCTCCGCCCCAGTCTTTAACATAATGATGCCTAAAGTACAGCCTGCAATCCATTTATTGAATGACTTTGGGTGGCTCTGAACGAAAGTCAAGAGTGATGGAAATTTCTCCTTTCAGCTAATAGACGTGATCTGGGCCTGTAATTTAAATAATAAATAATTGAATTTTACCTCTGCATTTAACCCGTCCCCTCAGGGAGCAGTAGCCTGCCATCGTGGGGCGCCTGCGGAGCAATCGGGGGTTAAGGGTCTTGCTCAGAGACCCAGAGTGGTAGGGAGTGGGGCTCGAACTCAGAACTTCAGTTTTCCAAGCTCCATGTTGTTGGGTTTCTCCAATATAAAGATCAGAGCGTTCCTCACTGCATTGAACAAATGCTCATATTTGGTCTGGGGGTTTTCTCTTTAGGATGCAGTAGTCTCTGTATCTCTTCTGGTTGTGAGAAATTGTTTAAAAGTTCAAGGTGAATTATTTGCAGGGGACTGAAAGTGGAAATCTAGATGTTCATTTTTTTTCCCTTTCAGATGTTTTGCACCCCCTCAAATAGGTTTTCTGTTTCATGGATGGATGTGGGGATATCTTGCATTTTAGCAGCAGACGGTTTCCTGCTGTTACAGCTAACTTTATAGGCATGACCACATTTAATGTCTCTATTAATCCATTTCCCTAAATTAACCTGTCCACTTACATAGTTTTTTTGTTTTCCATTTAATAAAACATTTTGGTTGTTGTCCATTTACCGTTATTTTTAAGTTTCAGTCCTGATTTTTTAAAATAATCCCCTAAAGTGTGATAATTTAGAATCAAAAGATGGTGTATATAATTTTTATTTATTTTCTTTGAAGATTATCCAAAGCTGTCACATAAAAAAAAATCCCAGAGTCTGAAAATACATGTTTTTTTTTTTTAACATTTTTTTATTAAAACCATACAAACATTTGTTGTCAGTTATAAAAGAGTGAAGCGGCTTTTCTGGCGGTGTAGCACTCTAAGCCAGATCTGTGGATGAGGGGCTGGGAGTCCTTGATTTCAAAGTTCTTTATTGGTCCCAAGATACTCCACATTTCATTTTTCTAAATCTACAGAAAGAGTATTTTATTTACATATATATATTTATTTATTTATTTATATAAAAAGCACAGTAAATGTGACGACTCGGAAAATAAAAGAAAAAGTACAATGTATGTTGCAAATCTTTACTTTTCAGATATTCAGACTTTTCTTATATAAATGTTCTCTTTTATTTCCTTTCAGGTTTCAAAGTTTCACCTTTTTTTCATCAGTATTCACAATGGAAGATTGGCAGTGATCTCTCTCATTTAAGGCACATACCTCACTTGTCTCCTTTTGTCAAAGGAAAAGATCTCTACTTCTTTGAAATAACCAAAAAATACTCCTCCAAATGCACAGCTACAAAATTGACAAAAGTACCCAAGGACAACAACAAAAACAGATTTGTACCTCTTTGTTCCAATGGCAAATGAAAGGTAAACACAATATTCAGTGCGCATCGGCAGAAGACTGCAAGGCAAAACTAACACTTCTGGACAAAGTCACTGCAATACTTGATGGCAGTACGCATTAGGGGTGTAACGGTACACATATGTCCTACAGGCACTCTGAAGTATAAAAACTAATGCAAACTGACTTTTACCTCTACTTTAAGTTAACCAAGTCTTTACAGCATGTCAAGATTTTTGCAGGTGCTAAGCAAGAATAATAATGTTTTGGTTAAAGCGCCCCCATAAGGCCATGTTGCGAACAACAAACCATCTGTATCTTTTTCAAAATTGTAATTATTAAACAAAAAATATAGTTATTCTGTAAATTTGAAAACGTTATATAAAATAAAAAATCATAAAATATCAACATAGGTTAAATAGCCTGTTTTATCTATTCATTATCTTTAAAAGCAATATGGCGCTTGAGAAGACAGCAGCAGATAAATATGTGTTTTAGGTATGCTTCTCACAACTTCATTTCAAGGAATCCATTGTTATCCACATTTGCTGTCTCAATTCTGGTGTCCTGAATAAAGCCTTTTTGGAGATGTTGTCCATAGACTTTTCCCCTGGCAGGGGTGTTGCTGCTTTCATCTGGGTCCATAAATCCCAACTACAGCTACAGCAGACTATAGAATGCAATTTAAAGCATTGAAATCAGACAAACATAGCAATATTTGTTATACTGTTTCGCAGTGGTTATGGTACGAAAGTAAATGTTGAGCCATGTCAAAATAAAGACAAATGGGGAATTTAAATTTTTGATCTATAGAGTTTTTTTTGTGTGATTATTTCACTGTTGCTACATAGATAGATGTATTAAAATGGTTCAGGTTTCAGCAATCGAAATCAAAGAGACTACTCTCATTATTGGAAATTATCTCTGCTATGGAAATGCCCCTTAGTGTCAATGGTTAATAGTAGGAAAACCCATAATAAGGGGTATAGAATAAATTGAAAACTGCTAGCCATATTCCATTTACTGGGTGATTATTGAGTTTGAACAATTCCAAACTTCAGTTCTTCATTGATGCCGATAAACCCATACTCAGCATACAGGTGTGTTCCCACTCGTGCATGTATTTATTTGTTTTAGTTTGTCATGAAGTGCTTGATGAAATAGACTTTTAATCACTCTGTTTTATTCAACCTATATTCTGCGATTATGCAGTACTTGTAGGTTTAGCCTTTTTCTCGTCATTTTATGTGCATCTGTCCTGGTGCTCTGTTAAGTTGCGACACCATCCTGAAAGGCGTGGTGGGTACCCTCAACAACTTCAATTATAGATGATTGAGTAAGACCTGTTTTCCAGTGTTTAGTCCTGTTTCTCTCCAAGACATAGCTATGCGCTCTCCTATTACAGTGACTAACTGTACGTTTTTCATTCTTTTTGACATGAAAACTGGCTCAGAGCTCATCTACTTAACAGTTCCTTCCCAAATAGAGTCATCTATGGAACTAGTTTCTTTAGCCTGGCTAATGACGTTTCTTCCTGTAAAAGTGGTGTTTTTCCTCTATAATGCATGCATGCTCTGTGTAAGGGATTGCTGCAGAGTCCACAGTTCGATGTAATCAGCTGGCTTTCTTTAGATGTCTTAACCAGTTTGTCTGTATGATTTGATTGCATTGTCTTTGCATACTGCCATAAGGTATCAAATCTTGTGAACTGGCACTATATAGGTAAACTGAATTGAAATTATGTGTTGTGGTACTAACAAAAAAGGAGTAAAAGCATTCTTTAGAGTGGTGATAGCCTGTGACTGATGTTTTTGTCAAATTATTGCATGTACCTGCATGTGATGTCTGTACCGTGGCAGTTCAAAAACGAATATGTGTAGCATTACACCCCTAGTAGTACACATTCTACATTTTAAGAGCTTTCGAGAAAATAATATGCACATTTTCCTATTTAAAAGAAAAAAAACGTATCACGTTTACAGCACTTCCATGCTGGAGACCTCTTCATGAGTTAAGACATTTCAAAACCACTGAACTACTCATGTCGATTCCTGTAAGCACAAGCGAAGCACCAAGATTTATAAGACAGAGGAGCGTCCATTTACACATCAGTTCTGAAGAGCTGTAAAATCAGACATTAAAAATAGGAACACAAACAGAATACAAAAACACAGCTACAAACACTTGAGTACCTTACAAGACTAACTAAAATCAAGCCATTAAGATATCAAGTAGAAGACAATCTACAGCGGCTGAAGACTTGGATGTGTAGTCCCTTTTTTTCGACAAAAATACCACTTGGTAAAACTTGGTCATAGCACTGAAACATTTTACATGTTTACAAAAGCAACACAAAAAAGATGTGAATATACCACAAATTAATAAAGTTGTCCTTAGGGCCTGTTAAATCGACAGCCCCTGTCTCAGTTGCAGTGTGTACCTTTGATGTTAGTAAGGTTGGCACATGGGTCTAGTCTTTCAAGTCCTATTGACAGTGTTCAAGGTTTGACTGGAGTTACATGCAATTTCACAAATAGATAAAACAGTGACAATACACAATACTGATTTAAGGGAAACAAGCTTTGTCTCGCCAACATGTACAAAGAGAAGGGCTTTCAAAAATTGCCTTAATTCCAGAAAAGGAATATAACCATTTATCTGTACATATACATGGCACATCCCTGTTCTGTTTGGGATGATGTTTTCCTAAAATAAAACACCTTGGCAACTGCAACTTCTTGTAAAGTTCTCTTAATTGCCACTATGTGAGTCTAAATCTTCACATACACCAATTTTTTTCTTTCTGTTTTCATTTTTTAACCCTTAGGGAGGAGAAAGCGGAGAGAAGTAGCAACTATTGCATTATAGCTAGGAACTTGCTTTCCTCTGCGAGGGTGGTGAGGAGTGAACTCATTTCTCCAATGGCCATGTTGCTCAGGCCAGGAGCAACACTGTTGAAGGTGGTAGATCCTTGGGGAGTTGTGAGGCGTGACGAGGTTCTTGACAATCCCTGGAACATAGAGGGGCTCAATACATCCGAGACAAGGCTACCCTGATCATAACCGTCCTCCAGCATGGTACCAAAATCTAGATTTACCCCATCATCTAATATGCCAGGGACTTGGCCATCAACAGTGCTTGTTACTAAGTCAGTTCCAGGGGAGGGAAGGGTGTTGGTGTTTCTGTTACCTGATCCCTCAGATAAAACCATCGACTCTAGCAAACGCTGCTCTTCCAGTATAGGGAAGGAGGAAGACTTGCAGTCTGCTGTGCCATAGGAAAGACAATCTGACAGAGTCTGCCCCATGTTTTCATGGTTCTCCAGTTTCAGCCCTGATACCTCACACATAAGAGAAAACTGGTCTCCATTTTTCTGTACCTGTTGCGGTTGATGGGGGTTTGGGAGAATTTCAGTTGAGCTTTGCAGATTGAAGAACTGCTGGGTTTTTGCCAAGTTTTTGTAATTGTTGATTTGTGGGTATGAAGCATGTACTAGGGGGTTGTGATCAGAAGCAGTTCCATGGGACAGGTTGGATAGACTGTCCATGGACGCGCGGGTAAGCATGAGGTTGTTTCCAACCTGCCACATGGTTCTGCTATTGTTCTGTTCCAAATGGCTGAAAGGTTTCAAAGGTCCATTGGTCATCTGTTGTTTAAGACCTTGAGGAAGACCCCCATTGATGCCATGTGACATGTTTGACATCCTAGTACCTCTCATTTCCATGCAAGAGTTAGGCAATGCCTCCAGCTTCACTCCGCTGTTAATGTAGCTAGAACTTTGTGACTGGTTAGCTACTGGGCAACTGCTGTGGAAATCCACAGACACCTGCTGGGGCACCGACATGTTTCGCAACCTGCCAGTTGATGCAATTGGAGGTTCAGGCCATCTCTCGCACTGCAAATTATGGCTTTGAAGCCTTTGAGGAGACCTGTCAGCACTCCCTGAGCTTACTTCATTCCACTGGATTGGAAGCTTACTAGGACTCTTCCTATCAAGTATCTGCTGCGGCTGGAGATGGTGAGAGCCAGGGAAGTTACCGTTTTCCCCTGCTTCCACAACTGGATAGGAGCTGTCCCTTTGGCTAGAATTTATTTGTCCCTCATTCTGAATGTTAGAGCCACCATTCATCTGATCCTGGGAATGCAGATACTGCACCAAGTCATCAGGTAAAATATCTTCATCCCCAAGAAATAAGCCAACTTCTCCTTCATCCTCCATTGCCAATGCTTCCAATGCTGCATTTTCTGCAATACTAACGGTGTTTGTGGAATGCTGCAGGCCTCTCTGCAAGTTTCCCTCTGAGCGTGTGTAATTCTGAAGGCTAAAACTGCGATATTCAGCTGAGGGATTATGAGCCAGAGGGGGAAGAGGATGGAGATTATTAAGGCTGTTGAAACGTTGCACTGGAGGCAGACTATAACTTTCAGGAGCCTGTGACCGCACTGGGTCACTGGCCCTTCGGTTACCATTCAGATTTCCCTCACCAGGATAGAGGACCCTCCTCCTGTAACCTGCATGTCCCATAAGCCCATTGTTGAGCTCACCATTGGCTTCACCACAGCGAGGTGGCCTGACTAAAGGTGGAAGGCTGTGATTGCTGCCACCCTCCTCCATCATGGCCATGCGAGTCTTCAGACTCATACGTTCCATGTTGGGTAAAGGCGTGGGGGGTGGGCCACCAGTAGCTGCTGCATACTTGGCCTTAAGGTGGTAATGCTGTGCAGGAGTTAAATTGAGCATCCCTCTCGACCCACCTCCTCCTCCGTAGCTAACTCCCACTCCACAACTTCCACCTGAGAGAGCCCCAACTCCTCCTCCTGCCACTCCACCTCCATACTGGCTAGCTTCACTGGATCGGCGGGAGGCGTCTGTGGAAATGGGGTCGTAGGAGTCGGTGGAGCTGAGGTTGTGAAGGCGGCGGTGATGGTGGCCCGGCACTGCGCCATCACCCTGTGAAGCCTGGCTAGAGCGCCGGCTGGAGAAGCAGGGAGAGATGCCTGAGGAGCGCCGACTGCTACTCAGATAGGCTGAACTGGCGGCACTCCCACTGCTGTCACGTCGATCTCTGAGCAAGTTGAGCACGTTCAGCTCTGTGCTGGCTAACTCTGGGTGAGCAGGTGGCTGAGGAGCAGGCACCCCCCACTGCCTGCCCAAACACGATCCTGAGAAGAGTGGAGGGAGAAAGTTAGGACGGCTACAGAGGAACCAAGGAAAATGAAGTGTGGTGAAAGAAATATTACAGCTGGATTAAAGAGACAAAGCCAAGAAATCTTCTGAGTGGAGAGATCTCTCAAACAGATGTTACCATGGACAACTAGCAACAATTGGCCATGAAACACCACATTACACGGTGTTCCCTCTGATATGATGTACAGCTTGATACTATTTTGCAGTGGAACAGAACATTTTTTCAACATTTGTTTTGCCTTAAACCTTCAGCTACAGGCAGCAAGATGAGAATCAAAATCTTTCTGGTCTGTAAATTATGTCTACAGGTGCTCTGGAGTGATCTTATGAATACAAGATGTGATGCCTGTGGAAATTTACCAAAAGTTTAACAAAGTTAAACTCACCCTTCCCCAGGATGTTTGGCATTCCTGAACTTTTAGGGGGCGGTGTGGGAGACAGGGACCCAAGCCTGGGCAGCGCTCCATTCACCTGCTTCAGCCTCTCCATCTTCATGTGCTCCATCCAGCGCATGGGCCGGCCAATGCTTCGCCTTGCCTGCAGGGTCAGCATGGCTGCGGTGGCAGTGGACACCGTGGAATCCATAATGGGGACTGACTCCCCCTCGCACTCCTCCTCCACCTCCTCTTCGTTTTCCTCTTCCTCGTCGTCCTCCTCCAGCCCCTCCCCTGGCGAGCGTCTAGCGCTCACAGCAAGCTGGACTCCACTGCTGGGATAGGTGCTGACTGGGGACTGGTCACTGCTGCATGTAGACTGACCGCCAGGGCTTGGCTGAGACGTCTGATCGAAACAAACAGGAAGCAGAGGAATAATTGAAAAAAATTTATCTAAATCACACTAAGAAATATATACCTGGCATGACAGAAACACAAACGATGAAGTCCTGATAATGTTCAGGTTTTTTATGCTGGACACTAAACCCCTGAGCACCCTCTCATCTCTGATCTTATAGAGATACACTACTTTGAATTTGGTGGCTTTTGCTTTCGGTGATAATAATTATGATAATCTGTAATTATCAATTTCAGGATCAAATGTGACGTCCCACCAAGAGTGAGAGGGAAATCATTGTAAAACAGAACTTTAATTTTTTATACAAAATAGGAGAAGACTTGTTTTGTTTCTCTCTTTTCTTTTCTTGTGTGTTTGCCATTTTATGTCAATGATTTCAACAAATACAGCATGTTCCATGACAGACAAGTTGAACTCATTTTCTCAAATTCACTCTTTTTCTTTCTTTCATAACACCTTCCTTTGCAATAGCTTTTCACGTTTCATTGCTTCCTCTGGCTTCCATTTCCAACATACTAAAAATAGCTAGAACATCAAGTTCTTTTTACTTAGTAACAGCATCCACCACAAAGATAGTTAAAGTCAACCTTCACTGGATGCTTAATTAGTTGCCTTAACAATGACTAACACATTTTATTTTTGCTTTAGATGCCCATTAATCAAGCCAAACATCTGTTCCGTCAACCCACAACTTTACTGTACATCTGTAAGTATGAGTTGCATCCCTCCCTACAGACAAAGGCATTGCTCACACAAAAACATGCTCATGACAAATATAAGAAAATATGTATAAAAAAGAAAATTTTGAAAAAACATTTCATGAATGTGGGAACTGGTGATGCACAACCAGATTGGGAACAACCTGAGGATGTTTAGGATGAAAGTCCCGACTGATGGGATAAGCAAACTCTATGTCGGCATGATGAGATGAAGGGCTAACAGATGTAGTGTGGAACCTATCTCACCTGATTACCCACTGTCCTTAGAAAGGAATGAGAAGAAATGCCGAAGCATTGGATAGAGGAGGAAATGTACTCATTAGAATCATTAGGTGTCAGTGAGAAAACCCTTTATTCAAGTACATTTAAGGCATGAAAGCATATTTAAATTATTGTAATGAATTTAGAAAGTGTAAAAACAATAAGATTAACAGAAAAAAAAGTCTTACCATTGGCTTTTCTGTCTTGATTGATTTCACCTGCAGACATTCATCTTGTTTTGAGGTAGTGTGGTTGTACTCCCTTTGGTCCGTGTATCCACCCAGGGGCAGCTGCCCGGGTGAGCGACCCTGGCTGTTACCCCCTGATTCCCGCAGCTGAGGTGGTGGCCGTGGGTAATCGCCCCGCTGTTTCTTGGTGACGTGGGCCTCTGGCCCGTGTACCGTCTTTACATGCTTTCGTAGGGAGCTGGGATCTGTGTAGCGTTTGGTGCAGCCTGGGATTTTGCAGACGTAAGGTTTCTGAAGGTAAACAGACAAAAAGAACTGAATAAGCTTATTTAAATTCAATTATTTGTCATGTTGAAATGAAATACTTAAGATAATCTGGAAATGCAAATTCAATGGATGGATGGATGGATCTCTTAGTACCTCATTGGAGTGCGTGCGGTTCTGATGCTTGGCCCGATCGGATGCATTGGAAAAAGCCTTGTTACAGCCTTCATGTTCACACACATACGGTTTTTCACCAGTATGGGAACGTAAGTGTGTTTTCAGGTTCTCCAGCCGTGAGTAGGCCTTTGTGCAGCCTTCAAACTAAAATGTGGATTAGATTAATCACATGTTTTCGTTTTTATCAAACATAATCACATTTATCATATTTAGAACAACATCATCTGCAATAGCAGTTATTTGAACATTAATTAGCATCCTTACTGTGCACTTGTGAGGTTTTTCTCCGGTATGTCTGCGCATGTGGACCACCAGCATGTACTGTGCCTTGAAGGGCTTCTGCTCTCTAGAGCATTCCTCCCACCGACACACAAACTCCTTCTTTTCACCATGGATATGGTCATTGTTGATGTGCTAGAATAAAAAAGAAGAAGAAGAAATAAAAAAAAAATTATATCTATTGCTTACTTCCATATCGATTTGTCAGACATTTTATTTCCCTTTCAGCATTATTAATATTTCTAATTTACACTGTTGGAAAGTAAACAAAGGCTTTTGAAACTTTGCGTCCAACCTAAAAAAGGGATTTTCAAAGCAACCCTGTCACTTCATATGACTCCGGGCCCTCATCACTTTGTGTCAGAGATGACAGTTGTGCTGCTGTTGCAACTTCTAAACTGTGGCACAAGAAAGGAAGCACAAAAAATGTCAGAGGAGAGAGAAATCAAAAATTCAGTCAAGTCCAGCATTTTCTCCATTTTTTTCCCGCCTAACTTCCTTGTAAAACCGGGAAAGTGGCGGATGATAAAGGAATGTGGAGAGGTGAAGAAGGGAAGGGAAGACTATGGCCCTCTGGGAATAAGGTCAACATCAGGCCTCTGAAGTGCCTTTTCTGGGGGCAATTGAAACTCAGAGAGACACAATATCCTGACAAAAGGAAACTGTGGTTATTATGACATTCCTGAGAAGCAGGAAAAAAAGGCTCTTTTAACCCCTGGGCTGGATACAAGTAGACTGACGCTAAGTCTAAAAGCTTGGGATTTTTGTGCTTTGTTCAAACTATGATTCACAAAACTAATAAAAAAGAAGAACTAAAGAAAATAAAGGTTTAGCCTAAGGAAATGGGTTGACAATTAAACTTTTTTTCCCTCTCAGTGTTGCTCCCATTGGCCAAATTCAACCTTTTGTGCAAACATCCAGCAGAAGCCAAACTGGTTTAACTTTCCAGAAAAGGCAGACAAATGAGTCAGCAGTAAAATTAGCACTAAAAAAGGAGAGCATGTGTTGCTAATAATACCCTTTGACATTGTTGTGTTTGTCATGTTGCATCCATTGTTTTTCTAATAAACCCCTTAGGCCTGCCCAGCATTTTTTTTATATCGACATAATATTACATATAGAAGGCCGATATTTTAAATTTTTTCATTATAAGTTTTAATTTGTTTATTTGAATTGGTTGCACCAAATTTATGTTGTCCAAATTTATGCAACATTTCTGACTTACTATGGTAAAAGAATAAAGAAAGAATAAAAAAAACAAACATGAATCTTGTTGCTTCAATATCTATTCTCGAACTTGATATTGTCGATAATTTGCATAAAAAAAAAAAAAACAGACACTGTATATTCTCGCTTGCAATTTCAGTCATTGTAAATTGACCAAACCAGGCTAAAATGAGAAAGCTAGAAAAACAGGGTAATTGGAGAAGGCATTGGTTTTCTAGTAAATCAATCTTCTCTTCCATGTTTGTGAGGGCTTTAAAAAACCTTCTCTTTTTCTTCCTCTACGTGAGGGAATCCTGGTGGCAAGCGATCAGTCTGCTGTGACCTGTGTTCGATATCCCGCGGCTGAGAGCGATGGGAGAGCGCTGTAGAGTTGGTGTGTAACTGTGGCAGTTGGCACAGTTACACACATTTACCGTTTGTATAAATGAAGGAGGTCGTTGACGGGCGTGATGCATTATGCCCTGAGCTGACAGTGAGGGGGACAGCCAGCGCGGCAGGGGGGGTTGGGTGGTGGGGACAGGATTGCAGCGAAACCTAATGGCATGATCTAATGGCAATTCTTATTGAATCAATAATCTCCATGCTGAGCAGACAGGTCCCGTTGGTCGGCTAAATCGACAAACAGGTGCTGATAGCTGCGGCGCGGCTGGTTATTCATCTTCTCCCTGCCAGCTTATCGGCCAACAACTGTAGAAACGCCACCAAGATGGATTTAGGAGGGAGCAGCACTATAGGAAACGCATGGGACACGGACACAGGGGAGGCAGACACCAGCTGTGACGTATGAACGGTGTACCCCCACACATGCACAGGTGCAGACACCATTCCCTTGGGTGAGCCTCCTGTGGTTAGCCAACATACAGAACATACTTAAGCACTAGTACCAAAGATGACAAAAAGGTATTTTGGATCAGGAGTGTTTATTATCACCGTGCTACATGAAAAAGGGCTGAACATGTTTAAAAGTCTTGACATTTTGCAGCCAAATTGAGATAATTAAAGATTTAAGTTTTTCAGGTGAAATTGCCGTCTCTTGGAGCAACAGCACCACCAAGAATTGCTTTACATATAGCACTTTGTAAGACTATAAAAAGTTCACCTAGACTTACAAGAAAAGTTATAATTCTAGGTTAAACTTGCCATTTAATGTTTTACACATTATATTTCAAAGAAAAGCGGCACAGTATAACTTTTAGCCACTAGGAGCGCTAGAGCTGTAATTCCAGAGACCATTAAAACTACTTTCAACACTACATGGTCGCAAAATTAAACAGTGTCTGTGTGTTTTGATATCTGGAGAAATCTTGTAGTTAGTTGTAAAGACGAGGTCACACTCTAGATGAAACCCTACATCAGGGAGCAAAAAATACATCTTACCACCTAATTGTCATGTCTGTTTTGTTGCCTAACAACGTTTTATAGTTGGCTCTAATGTTTAAGGAGAGCTCAGAAAGCCATAAAGTGATGCTCTAGTTTACCCGACTCCCCTAAGAACATACTTAGAGGAGTTTTTAACTAGATCAGGAGTCTTCAATGTTTTTCCAGGCTAAGGACCCTCAAACTGATGGTGAGATGGAGCGGGGACCCCCTAATTTTATACATACTGTATGAAATTGTGTTATATCACACTGGTCCTATAGTCACTCTATTACATATGTAATAATGTAATGAAATGTATTTCTCCCTGGGATTATGAAAGTATTTCTGATTCTGATTCCTTGTTGCTGGGACAGGTGTTGTGAATGAAATGGTGCCCAGGTTAAAAGAGCTCCTTTTTGTCGCTGAATGTGTGCATTAATGACTGAAAGACATCTTCTGCCTCCATTTATCTGTTTACTACAGTGTGTTGAATTCATGTTAATGTGTATTTAAAGAAATTTCAATTAGTGGAAAAATTGCAGTGGGGAATAAAAAAAAAAAAAGTCTAATCAACCGAAACTTTCGTGACCCCCGTGCAGTACCTCCATGGATCCCCTAGGGGGTCGCGGACCCCCTGTTGAAGACCTCAGAACTAGAGTATTAACACATAATAAATAGTGTACGTTGACCAGAAATCTCAAAGTTAACTAATAACTTGGTAAAACTTTACACATTGTTACTTTAAATTTTTATTTTTTACCAATTAAAAAAAATAATTATTTTTTTCTTATGCTGGAACTATGTGGTGGAAACCTGAAAATATGAACAGAGCTACAAACTTTCATACAAGTCCCTAAGACATGTCAACTATTTTTTATATCAGACAAATGCGGTACCAAATAGGATGTCAGCCAACTTTAATTTAAGCTGCCAATTTTAAATTCTGTCATTTCTATCCCCTATATTGTAATAAAAACACCTTCTAGAGGACGTATCAGTTTCACACTTGGCCCAAAGTACCAAGAAAGCATGGGGCCATGGCCAGGCCTCAAAAACCAACTTCTCAAGCACTTCAAGAGTTACTGTGTCATTGCAGTCCCCCCACAATTATTCATACATGGTCATTTTTTTTTACTCGCTTTAGCCTGGCCCATTGAACATTAATTAGGAAGTGAATTAGTAAGAATTTAAACCTTACAGGTTTGAGCTGCTCCTTCGCCATAGGCGTTGCCAGTCCCAGTGTAAGAACATTCTTTGGTGCTAATGTACAGATTCTAACTGAACTTATTTCTGCAGACTAAATCTACTAAACAAGGGGTGCACAGATTTATTAGCTGGCCAATTGATTCACAATTTTGGTAGATCAGTGATCAGCCCATACTTAGATGTGAAACAGATAATTTCCGCTGATCTTATCTACCTCCCTAAAGGCCTGAAAACCACCCACTTTCAATGCATTAAAGTAAGTTATTTCAGAAGTTTTGAAATATTTTGTGTTGCGATCTTGTAATAACCAACAGTCAGTTATTTAAAAAATAAATAAAGTCAAAATCAGAATCAGGAATCCGTGATCAGCCAGAAACCTGTAATCGGGGAACCCCTAACCACCAAAGTGCATGTTCCATTAACCACTGCTTGAAGATTTAACAGTTTGAGGTATAGCTTTATGTATCACAACGTCTCAACACTTGATATTGGAATACATATAATCATATAATTTCCTTCTTGCTATTTCACACCATTTGTTCACTTCAATATTCATTTCCATGTTTCCTTATCAAACCCTCTTTGGGATGCTGCCGTCATGCATTAGAATGCAAGCTTGCATGAAAAGAGGCTCTGTTTACAAGGCAATTTCACAAAGCGATGGGACCCGTAACACCGTTTAGCTTTATCAAACATTGCCTAATAAATCATATGCTCTTTTGTGATGTCAGTAGCTGAAATGCTTTGTGTAAAGAGAGGTGGAGAGGGAAAAAAAGAGGCAAAAGCACAAAAAGGGAAAAGATGGAAAGCAATGGGAAGGAGGGAGGGAGAAATGAGAGTGGGAATTGAGAGTGGGTTAGTGAGAGAAGGAGGGAGGATGAGAGAAAGCGAATGAGAACCAGGGGGCAGGGAGCTGAAATTGGCATGTGTAATTCAGCAGTCTTTTCATCTCTGAGTAAGATACTCTAGACAGATAAGGGCCTAATCCTTCTCGTGATCAAAAAAAGCAGCGTTTTACCAATTAAAGGCCTGTGCCAGCAGCCAGAGAGAAGGGCTGAGGGGGGTGGGGGGTTGCTTTAAGACTGCTCCGGCGTTTATCATTCTTTAACACAGGGGAAGCACACAACAGGAGTTTTAACAAGGCTGCATCCATGGAGCTACGGCTGACAAAATTATAGTGCCAAGTATGCTTTTGGTAAAGTGCAAGAACAGGTACATATGGACTTTCTGATACCCTACTGATGATCTTTCATCTCTTAGATGGTCTACAGAATAAGATCATATAAAGTCATTACTTATATCTATATAATGCATTCGGTTGGCTGGAAGATGACAGATGATCAGCATTTTGGCCAAGGACAGACAAAAACATTCCATCACACCGTGACTTTTTTTTAGAAATTAAGGTTTAATCCCCCTTTTTCTGCTAATAGAATTGGAAATTGATGGGTTATATTTTGCAGAGATAAGATTTAACATTCAAATCTTGCTCTGATTGAGGATCAATCAGTAGCAGCTTTGCAAGATGAATTTACCCTCTAGAAGTCATCCACTTCAATGCGGGGGACCCCAGTTTGAATCAGGAAAGGATTATGGAGTAAAAACTGCCAAGCCCCTGCGTAAGGGAGCAGCCAAATGGACATTTGTTGTCTAGATGCTGAAGGAAATCAACAATCAGGCTGAGGCCCCTCTGAGTAAACTAGGACCTCAAAATGAGAAAAATTAGATAGATTTATGCTTTCACGTTAGTCTGCAATAATGCTAAAGACCTATTTGATTAGTTTAAGTTGTTTTTCTTAAAGGGGTCATTATTATATAGGACATTTGGTGCTGAGCAAAGACACATCATAGCAACAAGCACTCACACACTGAAACATCAAATTGTTGATATGGTAGGGTGACCAGACATCCTCTTTTTCCCGGACATGTCCTACTTTTCATACCTAAAAAAAATGTCCGGGGGGAATTTCAAAATCGTCAGGGATTTTGGTCCCCTACAGTGCAGCAGAACAGAGCCGTCAGCTCCGGGGCTGGTGTGGTGCAGGGAGTCAGCGAGGGATGGAGCGATCAAACCCGACCCGGTGACGGTAGCCTGGACAACGACAGCCCAATGGTTCCCCCCGCCTGCCTTACCGTGTTTCCCGCCGCCTGCCGGGGCGAAGCACGAGGGGAAGCGTACTGTCACTGGGTCAGGTTCAGACCAGCTGCGGAGCTGATGGCTAGGTTCGAATGCCCGGTCCGGCCCAGTCAGCGACCCAGCAGCCCCCAGGGGGCATGACAAAAGTACAGGCCAGGACCAATGCAGTGCTTCGTTTGGATTCGCCTGTTTTATGTTGGAAGTTTAGAATTGTGAGATTTGCAGAGAAAGGAGGCGTTGATGGGGTTTGAACTTTTCTGTACGTCCATTTCACCCACTGATCTATCGTTATTCATCAATGACAATGTAAACTCGGTTTTGCATTCTATGACCCTTTTAAGAATTTTAGCAGCATCTCAACTGGAAATGGGAAGTGTAGCTGCTAAATATAGCAATTAAGTCGCTAAGATGGCCACACCTCTTCCTTGAAGACTTATCAGTTGTGAAAAATCACAAAAAGTTTAACAATAACATAATGTTAAGAAAGGCCAAATAGCAATTAGGAATAAAGCCCATTTCAAGAGACATTAAAGAATCCACCAGGCCTTATCTTTAAGTGCTCTGTTTGAGGGGAAGGAGAGGAGGGGGAGGAAAAAAAGAAATTGAGAGGGAAAGAGAGAGAAAGTTACACTGAAATAGAAAAATGGGGGGCTGGAGAACGTCCAGATTAAGAGGTAAAGTGAGTAGAATTATAATATATCGAATAAATATCTCAAATTTACAATTGACACCCGCCTGGCTTTTGCTGACTGGATAGGCCTGATAAAGTGGGCCAAATTGCATAGATCTGATGTTTATCTTATCGTCGGCACCGTGAGCATTTAAACTCGCGTGATAAAGGAATGCCAGTGAAAAACATGTCGGAGGGGCGTAGAAATACGCATCAAGAGCTCTACAGGAAGCGCTTTTGAACAAGGTGAAAAGCAATGAGGGTGGCGTTAAGGCTTATTTCCAAAATTAGGCTAACCAAACAGAAACAGGGATAGATACGGTTCAAACTTGAAATACTTTCCAATAGATCCGTTAACATGGCAGTCCTAATAAAGATGTTTGAATATGAAAATGAAACATTAAAACTGCTTGCGCTAAGGAAAAAAAAAAAAGTATATATATATATATATATATATATATGTTTTTTTCTCTTGAACGCTTTTCCTCCCTGAAGCTGTTTAAGAAGAAGACAAGTACGGGGGAAGGGACGCTCTATTGTTTGGATATATGGAAATACCCCCCCTCCCAGAGAGAGAAAAGAGCCACTGTGGTCCAAATACTGTACTTATCCTATTACTGAGGGGGTGGGGGTGTGGAGAGATAAGAGCATTTTCCCCTCCGCTCTGCTACATTAGAGCGAAAGGGTTCCATCAGCGAAGACTGTTATTGGCATCTCTCTGCATATCTCTACGTGCAATTAAAAATGAGAAATAAAAAGTCATATCAGAAAGTCGAATGCCAGATACAAAATTCCAAGACAGAAACAGGAAACTAATGAGAGAGGACACACTGTCCCTCTGATGGTAGCCAGGCTATGAGTACGGCAGGGGGAGAAGGTGAGCAATCTTTGCCTCCATTGCTTCCCAACCACTTTTACTCATCCCACTTCCTGAAAAAGGGGCAAGAAGTTGTCAAGATCCTCAACCTTTTGAGCTGAGCCCTTCAAACACGGGAGGCAAGCCCATTTCGTGCTGAGGATATCAATTATAGATAGGGGTTACCACCGCAGCTGAGGATTGCGATGTCAAGACGGCAGGTAGACAGCTGTGGAGAGCTTAGGATCTTTCTATCAGATGTGTCCTGATGTGTTCCTCAGCTGCACATGTGTATGTGAGCACTTCCCCGTTGCTCGTACGGGTGTAATTTCATCACTTGTCCAACTCTAGTCTGGTTTCTCACTCAGATGAAGGCTAAGTGGTTCACATGCAGCAAAGCAAAGCTAAAAGCAGCTCTGGCCGCAGTAAAGGTGACACGATGATTACGCTAATGGTATTTTTTGCTTTAGATGGAGCCCTCAGGCGAAGTATGATGGGGGAACATCCATTTCTGGGCTTCTGTGACAGTTACGATAACAGACAGGGAGGGGGTCTGGTCCGGTAGAGTACACAGAACTCTATGAGGCTTAACCCGCCAAATAAGTTCACACAATCCAGCTGTGTGATGGGACACTGGCTTTTGAGCCCATTAGCTCTGTCCCTGGAACCAATCAGCAATGCAGCATTATTAACATTCAGCCTCAGCTCTACTGTGGGCTGCCAGACACAGAAGCTGAGGCCTGATAGGAGGTGCTGTCCAGAGTGGCAGCTTCTGGTTATGTGGCAGGGATCAGGGAGGTTTGGGGAGGGAAGCATGGCTTGTTGGGATGTTTTTGAGCAGATTTGAGGAGCTGCAGGAAACCGGTTGTGTCCTTCTGGTCATTCAAAGAGAGGGAGTCAGGGAAGCATAAAACACTGATTTAATGTGTTTGGGCCCCTAGGCTTTCTCCTGGCAATGCTTCCAGGCAAGACTTATTTGTCTATATTTTTTGCAGTGTCACACACATTTAAAAGTTACCCTGCAAACTACGGTCTATAGATGTTGAGATATTTCGCCATGCCTTTTATAGTAAAATCTTTTTTTTTAATGCAGTAAATAAAACAGCCTTTACTTTCTTGTACTTTTAAGGTTTCTTTCAAAGCCCTACTGCACACCTACCTAAAAGTAACAGGTTACTTTCTCATAATTTACTCTGCACTGTACCAAGTACTTTCTAAATCTATCAAGTTAAGTTCAGAAGGAAAGAAAAAGTAGATCCCACAAAGGTCAGAATAGTAACTAGTCATGTCCTGGAAAGTGCCCGATACATTGTGAAAACTCTTAAGATCCTTAAAGTTACAGGTTATGCTGCGTTGATTTACTTTTTCTTTATGGAGATGTTTAAAAGTTGTAAATTCTGCTGGACACTCACCTGCACCAGCTGCTCCTGGGTGTCAAACTCCCGGCAACAATTCTCCCAGTGGCAGTTTGTCTCATAAACCACCTCCGGCTCCTGTTTGCTCTCGTCTTTGTCCCCTTCCTCCTTCACCAGAGTCATCCCATCAGGATGGTCCTGAATGAACAGAGAAAAAAATATATTAACAACATAAGAGCAAAACCATTTAAACCCATCATAAAAGAGATTTTCTATAATGTTTTAAATGCATGATTCTGTGAATCTGGCCTTGCTCTGCTCTATAGGAAGTAAATATCTAAGGACTCTAATCCTATCTCTGTTCATGTTTATTCCCAATTTGAATAGACAGATTTTATCCTAAGATGTCTTGATTGAGCATAACCTCTTAATGATCAACTCCTGGATGCCGTCCATTAAAGATCCTTGCTTACTTTCAGGTGCTGCCGTTCAATGACTGGCTTTAATAAAGTATATGTGTTTTTTCCCTACTGATGCAAATGTCAATGCCATTTGCAAAAGCAAAACCAATTTTATCCTTTGTCTTCCAAAGATCAATAAATGTGTTGCACTGGAAGCTAAAAGCAATAAGAGAATACATCTCATGCAAAACAGTCGCATGATAGAGAAAAGATTGAGGGGAGTTGTTTGCAGAAATCTTGTTTTTACAGGCAGAAATATTCCAAACACTCCTCATGGGGATTGTTTTATTACAATTTCATTTGGGGTTTATTAGTTAATTGAACTGTATATTTGGCAGTGTGGAACTATTATGCAATAATAAGCCAAAAACAATAGCTTTTAAAATAAGTTCAGTTTAATGCAAACCCTCTTTCAATCGGAGTTGATGAAGTTATGAGAGAATATTTACTCGACAAGGACAACGCAAATTCATATTCTAAGATAATCAGGATTTTCTGCAGCTGGTGATTTCTATATAATTTGTTTGATAGCACTTGTTAGGATAAACCTTAATCAAAGAGTAAGAATTGCAGGTATTTCTGAGAGAAACCCCATCTAATCACCTGCAGTGTAAAATGTGTATTTCAAAATGTATTACATGTAAGCAAAAGTGATTCACCAAGAGGCTAATGGGCTGAAGCTCCACCATCTGAGAAAAAAAGGCTGTACTTCAACAAAAATGTTTTTTTGTCCACATGGAATTTCCAAATGACTACTGGAAAGAGATCAGAATAACAACTCAGCTATGAAGACCAGTATGGAGAATTCAAGTTAAAGCTTTTAAAACTAAAAAGAAAATAACACCCTACCATCTGTTAAGCATGGTGGTGACAGCATCATGCCTTTGTAAAACTCAACTATGAGTATTTCTGGTATATTTTTGGGGCAGTAAGGTTCTTGGGTTATTATGACATTCATGTTTTCCACTTAAAAATACAAAAATATTAAATGTTTACCTGCTGAGAAGTAAAGTAACAGGCAAGACTACATTATTGTTGACCTAAAACATGTAAAGTGTCTCTTAAATCCTTCATTCAGAATCATTAGGTTTTGTTGCTAACATGCTTCTGGACCTGTCAATAGCCTTTGATAACAGAGACCATAATGTTTGCTATTCTGGCTGGAACATGTTGGTATTAAAGGTAAAGTTCTGTCCTGGTTTAAATGAAACCTCACAGACAGGAGCCTCTCTGTCAATCTAGAGGCTTATTCCACTTTCATTCTGGGGTTCCTCAGGGCTGCATACTGGTATCACTGCTCTTTGTTTTGTAAACTTTGCAACAGAAAAAGGCAGGAACACAGTCTTGAAATCTCATCATTATCTTTCTTTCTATTCTCCCATTTATTATCAAATGTAATTGGTCACTTTTCAAGTTTTATAGTGTCTAACTCTATCCAGTCTACGTAATCCCCTCTATATTATTTCACCAAAGAGAGCACTCGGATAATCCGTTGCATTTCTCATCAATTTTCTGAGATAAAATAAAACATATATATGATAGGGCATTCATCATGTGGTATGGAATACCTTACCTCTATATGTACACAGCTAAAGTTATTTAAATTTTCTTTTTCTTTCCCCTGGGCATCAGTTATCTGAGCTATTTCTCTATGTAACTATTTATTTTTATTCAATCTTGTTGTAATTATTTGTAAAGCACTTTATTTAACTGTCTT